TTCATAGTTAAAAAAACTATAACAGGGCAATCTGACAAGAATTTTGGTGAATCAATAAAGTTATTTGTACAAAGTTGAGTTACAAAAGTTGTGTTACAAAGTGTGTTGGCAAAATCCAGACGGTTGATTTCAAATGATTTAAAAATCTGTTTTTAAAATGATTAGTGAAGATATTATTTTGTCAACCAACTTTATAACCCAACTTTGTATATGTAGCATAACTCAATTAAAAATATATATTAATAAATTCTCCTATTTTGACTGTCGTAAAATTGATGCGATAAAGTGTAATAGCTCAAACACGCTCATCTCAACGCCCTTTTCTACGTTTATTTTTACATTTTGATCCAACAATGATCCTTTGACCCAGTAATGAATCATATTACAACGGCAGTTTGTAATTGACTGAAAATAAAGTTTCATGGATTAAATAAAATCTACTACTGAATTTATTAAGAGAAAACTGAAATAAAATAAGGGTCTTGCTAGGGGTACATCACCCCTTACACAAGGATGTCGCCCCTTGCGTAAGGGGTGATGTACAAGAAGTATAATTCATAAAATATTTGATAAATAGTTTTAAATGAAACATTTTTCTTCTATAATAATTCACTCTAGAAGCACAGGAGTGGAGCATATACATATTTCAATACCAGAGATTTGCTCAAATCTTCGGGTGACAAAGAATATTAGGACCATTATGTGTGGTTGATATTTAAAATGAAGGGATACAATATTATAAACAAGGTATTCTACCATTACATGCTTTGATGGGGGCATAGCATGTTTACTAAGAACTCGTTAAACGTGTGTTGCACATTATTCGGAAATACGTTATAAATGTTGTGAAAGTAATATTTGATCATTCATTTACCATTTTGATTTAAATATGAGAAAAAATGCAATCCCTGAAAATAAATCTTAACTATTATACAGGCACTTAAATAGTGAAATGCATACTTGAATGAGAGTATTAGAATTATATATAAATGCATAAATAAAGATGAATTGCAAATATGATAGATGAATTAATGTAAATGTTAATTAATTTAGAATTAATAATAAGAAATATATACGTGACAATAGATGTTAAATCATTTTATGAAATGAATATAATTTAATTTTCAATTAAGTAAAACTCGATCCTAATTAGCATACACGAACATGAATAATGAACTGAACGTGAAATTTTAATTAATAATAATTAAATGAATGTGAATGTAAATGTTAATTAGTTGAGAACTAATTATAATATTTATTACAGTTTGTAAATTAAATATATATTAAAAAAAGAAAAATAAGATATTATTGAAATAATTGAATTGTAGTAGGGCTATAATCTTCCAAAAAATGATTCTTACTTGATGTAATATTTAATATATTAAAGATAAAAAATAAAGTTAGCTTTAATTAATTTTCTTTATATAATTCATTTATTTATTACTTTTAAATAAAGAATTTATTCCTTTTGAAATAAGTTGCTTATTTATTTTTAATTTTCATTAGAAATATTAAAATATGCATAATGGGACTCCCCCTTCTCTGATCTATTGAGACAGCAAATATTTTTTAGGGTGCGTTTGATTGTAAATGTGGAAAATGAGTGGAAAGAAAATGTTTTACAGGAAATTAAATTATCTAAAAATTATTTTACTAAGAATTATAATTAATTGTGTTTGATTGGTATAATTTTTCACCTAGGAAATGTTGAAAGTTTGGTGTCCGTTTGGCTTCATTTTTTATGAAAATTGTCCATTAAAATGATAATTTTCTTATCATTGGATATAAAATTTGTTCCAATTGTAAAAAAAAAAAATTAAAAAATTAAAAATTTAAAAAATTTACCATACCGAATACCATTCGTTTGGCTTTATTTTGCATGAAAATTGTTAATATAATTGATAAATTTTTTTACCATTGTGTCTAGAATTTTTTCTAATTGCAAATAAAAAAA